ACACCTAAATTACCTCCGAAGTAACAACTCTCTTCTCCAAGTCACATAATTACTTGACTGGAGTCCACCTGTGTGCACTTGAGGTGTTTCACATGATTTCAGTATAAATACACCAGTGTTTGGGAGCTTCCCCACTTACTTAGTGCATTTCCAAGGAAATACTACACCAGAAGACCAAGCAGATCCTAGACAAGGTTCTTGGAAAATACCAGTCAGGGCAAGGATATAAGAAAATTTCCAAGGCATTGAATATACCTCGATGCACAGTGAAGTCCATCATTTAAAAGTTAAGAAAATATGGAAAAACTATTAATCTACCCAGAACTGGCTGTCCTCCTAAACTGTGTGTCTGGGCAAGAAGAGTTGTAGTAAATGAGGCCACCAAGAGGCCCATGGTTACTCTAAAAGAGTTACAGTTTTCGATGACAGAAATGGGAGAAACTGGATGAGACAACAATAGCACACACACTTCATAAATCTGCCTTGTACTATATATGTATATTCGTATGAGCTTAACATGCAGAAGTTACATAGTTATATTGTCACAGTCAGGTGCCTCAGCCAGTCACAGCTGGCATCATCCAAATCGGTGAAGTTGCCGGGACACGTGAAGCGAGGGCAGGAGTATAGAATGTGGTCAGCCATCTGCTCCTTGCCGTCGCCACATTCGCAAATTGGGTCATCAGTGAGACCCCACTTGTGTAGGGTGGCCCGGAAACAGCCATGTCCGGTTCTTAGTCGGTTCAGCTTGACCCAGGCTTGTCTGGGTAGGTCATTTCCAGCGGTTTGTTAGATACTTTGTCGATAAATTGTTTCAGTCTGTGGTTGTTATTATTCCACGCGTCTTGCCACTTTTTGTTAGTACATTTTGGCTTGTACTTAAGGGTAGTAAGAAGAAAGCCTTTGTTGAAAAAAACTCATATCACATCTCGGCTGGAGTTTGCCCAAAGTCTTATGAGAGACTCAACAATTTTGAGGGAAATTCTATGGTCTGATGAGACCAAAATTGAACTTTATGTTTGGTGAAAACATAATACAGCACATTACACTGAGAACACCATCCCTACAGTGAAGCACAGTGGTGGCAGCATGCTTTGGGGATGCTCCTCTGTGGCAGGGACTGGAAACCTCATAAAGATAGAAGGAAAACTGGATGGAGCTAAGTACAGAAAAATCCTGGAGAAAAACGTGCTGCAATCCGCAAGAGCATTGGGACTTGGAAGATAATTCATCTTCCAACAGGACAATGACCCAAAATATACAGCAAAAGCCACACTGGAGTGGCTTAAAACCAAAAAGGTTAATGTCTTGGAGTGGCCCAGTCAAAGCCCAGACCTCAAGCCAATCTGTGGACTGACTTAAAAATTGCTGTTCACAAACAGTTTCCATCCAACTTGATGGAGCTTGAGCAATTATGACAAGAAGAATGGGTAAAAATTCCAGTAACAAGATGTGCAATGCTGATAGAGATTTACCCAAAGAGACTCACAGCTGTAATTGATGCCAAAGGTGGTCTTACCAAGTATTAACTCTGGGGGTCTGCTGCTTGGTCTTCATGGTGTAGTATTTCCTTGGAAATGCACTAAGTAAGTGGGGAAGCTCCAAGACACTGGTGTATTTATGCTGAAATGATGTGAAACACCTCAAGTGCACACAGGTGGACTCCAGTTAAGTAATTATGTGTCTTGGAGAAGAGAGTTGGTTACTTCAGAGGTAATTTAGGTGTGTCAAAGCAAGGGGGTGAATACTTATACATTCAATTACTTTCTGTTTTTTATTTTTAATTAATTTAGTAAAATGCCAGGATTTTTTTTCACTTCAGACATTACAGAATACTTTGTGTTGATGAGTGACAAAATTCTCAGTTAAATACATCATGGTTCCATGCTGTAACACAATAAAATGCGAAAAAGTCCAAGGGGGGTGAATACTTTTGCAAGGCACTGCACATGTAAAGATTTAAAGTGTATTATCGATCTAGTCTTGTCTAGTCTAACAACCAAATATCATTTCCTACTGCAGGAAAATTACAGAAACTGGCAGACTAACTAGAACTATAAGATATAACAGTCCCAAAACACAGAACAAAGCCTTCATAACAAGTAAAACCTAATAATATAACTCCCTATTGGAAAACCTATGTTTCCATTATTCACAAATATCACAGGCAATAAACAATCTCTGTATTTTCTCACTTACTAGTACTGCTGTTACAGTACCTGTACTCAGTCTAAAAGTGCTTTTATTATAGTTACAGTATGTCTGCCCACTGGATTTCATTTCATCACCTGACTAGTTTTGCCATTTTTTTATCCTTTCAGACAATCAGAAGGTATTTTCACTCTAGCCTTTGAAAATTATGTACTCTACAATTGAAATAAGTTAATCAGCAATAACAAGCTGTAGAGAAAAACAAGAACAGTTTATAGTTCAGCTATTTACCTATACAAAATACATATCATATGGCTAAGATGTGAGAAGTCGTCAAATATTCCTGAAGCACACAGAGAAAAAATGTTAAAAAAAATAAAGGGTTGTATTTTCAAATGTACAAATTAAACAGCAGTTGAGACAGAGTAAAGAATGTCCTATGAATGACATACAATATTAAGAATTACACAACCAACTAAAGTACAGATTTTTGAGAATTCAGTTTTTTCCTTTAATAATACTGCTTCTAAGCACTTAAAATGTTTGATATTAAGTGCAGTTTAATTAAATGTTGCAGAGTATCACATTCATTAATGACAGCGACTGTCAAAAACACAATAAGGACCTTACGGTAATATTGTTTCTTTCTCCTGCAGCACTGTGAATGCTACCTTTATGGAGCACCATTATAAGAGTACAAATCCTGATATTATAATTATGATATAATTATCATTAAATATTATTATAATTATTAGTAGAATTACTGCTGCAGGCAATGTTTTTTTAGAAAGAAAGTCAATTATTTATTTGAATTTATTTAAATTTAGAATTGCCCATTCTTACTCAATTAATCTTTACAGAAATAACACTTGGACCAGCAGAAGATAGATAAGGATGTTTTTCTCTGAAACATACAGCTGCTGTATGTTTTCCATCTTCTATAATCTCAAACTTGTAAATTTATATTGTTATCATTGACACACAGCAAGCTACCAAATGTCCGGTAAGTCATAAAGGTTGATTTCCTTGAAAGTACACAATTCTTGGGGAAGGAGAACAAAGTAATGTAGCCAATTCATGGAGGGGGATTATTAGGAGGCATGGGAAATTTGGCAAGGATGCTGGGGTTACACCCCTACTCTTTTCTAGAAACACCCTGGGATTTTTAATGACCACAGAGAGTCAGGACCTTGCTTTTATGTCTCATCCGAAGGATGACACTTATTTACAGTATAGTGTCCCCATCACTATACTGGGGCATTAGGACCCACATGGACCGCAGGTTGAGCACCCCCTGCTGGCCTCACTAACACCTCTTCCAACAGCAACCATAGTTTTTCCCTGGAGGTCTCCCATCCAGGTACTGACCAGGTTCACACCTGCTTAGCTTCAGTGGGTTGCCAATTGTAAGTTGCAGGGTGACAGGGCAGGGTGACTCTCATTAGCTATTAGCTATCAAAGCAGAATGATATCTTGGTTTTAATGCACAACAGACTCTGACAAACTACACAACTGTCATTCCTTATCACTAGAGCCATGAACATTCTTTAGCTAAGTCTTATATTGGAGAGGTTTAACTGTGCACCATGTCAACAGCAGAATAAAAATAATGGACAAAAAATCAATTTAAATTGATTATTAAGATATGTAAGTCGCATGGATATTGATCTGATTCTCTAGGCAGACAACATCTTTTTCTGACAGCATCCCTAGTGAATTTGTATTACTAGTATTCAGACCATTTGGACATTTTATGTAAAAAATACAGTATAGACATTACAGTATAATGCAATTAAATAGATTTAAGATAAAAACAACTAATTTTTAATTTCTCACATGAAATGCTCTTATCTAAGAATCATGAACAGCAATGGTGTGAACATCAATCTTGTAGGAAAAAAAACCATCATGATGACTCAACCCAAACCTTTGAAAAACAAGCTATGGCTATTTTTAAACACAAAATAATAGTTCTGACTTACAGCCTAAACAAAACTGATGTCTGAGTAATACTTCAAAATTTTTTTGTGGCAAATTTCCATGTGGATATAAAGGTGGAAAATCACATCAAACGCACAGCTTTTCCTCAAAACATGCTCCTTTAACAAAAGCAAAAACACCACTGCAAGTATATGAGGACCTTCTAGGACAAATGCTGTCAAAGTTACAGTAAGTGCAAAGATGGTAGCCTTGCAAAACATCCAGAAGGCAGTCTGGAAATGGACTGATGTTTTTTTTTTAAATAGACAACTTCCATATTCGCACTGGTGTCCTCAGCAGCATTTTTATATTCTAAAACAAAATATTTTTTAAAATGGAACAAAATATAATCTATTGTATACAACATTTAACTAAAAAATAAACACTAAAACAGAAGTGCCAACATACTACCTCCTCTGGTTAGTGTGATAAAAGGTCCCAGATATTTCGCAGTCCATCCTGATCAGGACTTTCCTCACTGGACCCTATGCTGTCTTTTTCGACCAATGGCATTCACTGTGCCCCCCACACAGTTAGCAGCAGTTTTCACTTGGAGCAGTGCCTGGATTTAGGAGTAGATAGTGATGACCTCCCTTCCTCCACCACGTACTAGCAACACTCTGTTCAGGCCTTCAATCAGAACTTCCAGGAACTCCATGTCTGGGAGGTTGTAGGTAAGGTAACACACATCTCATATCATAAGAGTAACCTTAAGTAGACAAAAAACAGCCTTTTGTTTATTTAATCCATTGATGCCATCCCCCATTTGTTTCCAAATGGAAACCCTTTAAGGTTTTTGAAGGTCTGAATTCAACTTATTTAACCATATTATTATTTAACCATACTGCCAAAGCTGAAATCCTGGCTTCTTCCAAGCGATTGCTGGATGAGCTCCTCAGACTGACAAAACAAGCTAGAGATGCCAAATAGTCTCCCATCATTCTCCCTTTCTTTTGTTCTGAAGAAATTAAAACCACAAATGTTTTCATTCTGAAATCTAGTGTGGTTTGTGGCAGACGTTAACCTAGGAAAGAAAAAGAAAGAGGAGAACAAACAAAGAAAAGGAGGGACAGAGTATGACAGACACTTACAGTGACGTTTTTTGCATATGTAAAGAAGGATACAGTTTTCATCCCCTTCCTTATTTGTAGGGGGCCCAGGCATGTTGAGCAAGACCAGTTGAGCCTGCTGGGATTTACACAACACCACCTCATTGAGCTTCACAGCCGTGTGCATCCTCCTCACGTTGGACTGGTTCCTACAACACAGATGCAGTGATTACACCCTGGGACACCTTAGGAGCAAGTGACAAGGTTTAACCAGTCTCAACATACAGCACCACTTGGGAGGTGGTGGGGGATGGAGGTAAGATAACTGAAAAAAACTGACCAAATCCTACAGAACAGAAAAACACAGCCCAGGGAAACATAAGGCGCGATTGTGGAAAGTGTTGTGGTTGTCAAACTAATAATAATTGCTTACACTTATATAGTGCTTTTCTGGACACTCCACTCAAAGCGCTTCACGGGTATTGGGGACTCCCCTCCACCACCACCAATGTGCAGCATCCACCAGAACGCTCACCACACATCAGCTATCAGTGGGTAGGAGAGCAGAGGGATGAAGCCAATTCATAGATGGGGATTATTAGGAGGCCATGATTGGTAAAGGCCAATGGGAAATTTGGCCTGGACGCCGGGGTTACACCTCTACTCTTTTGGAGAAACGCCCTGGGATTTTTAATGACCACAGAGAGTCAGGACCTCAGTTTTACATCTCATCTGAGGGACGGCGCCTGTTTACAGTATAATGTCCCCGTCGCTATACTGGGGCATTAGGACCCACATGGACCACAGAGTGAGTGCCCCCTGCTGGCCCCACTAACACCTCTTCCAGCAGCAACCTTAGTTTTTCCCAGGAGGTCTCTCATCCGGGTGACCAGGCTCACACCTGCTTAGCTTCAGTGGGCTGCTAGAAACTGTCCTCTCTGGCAACTCCACACAGCTGCCAGATGTCTACAGAGTCTCTGTGCTTCTGAACCACATGCAATAAATGCTTCTTAACACATGACAATTTAAATCCTCAGTCTAACTGAAGGACATTCTTTTATTTATTTATTTTTAATGTAGGTAATTTACAATTTAGCAGCATTTACTGTACCACCTTCACCTTCACAAATCAGCACATTTTCAGAAATCAGATCTGAAGAGAAAGTGCATTGTGCTTTTTGCCTAAATGTAACTTATTAGATTAAGCTTACACAACAGAGAGGCTAGAACAGACTACAAACTAAAATTTAATTTGCCAAGACAATCTAAGCAGCCCCTTTATTATTTTTGGAAAATGTATGCATTTATGTAGTCCATAAACATATGTTTTTTTATTTCATGTGTGTAACAGACAGGCACAATCTCTACCAAGAGTGTTAATCAGATGGGCCTGTTACATATGGGGGTGTGCTGATGGTTAGGTGTATGACACATGGTGAAGCCAGAGGTCTATCAGACTGTAGTGTGTGCTATGTTTGTGCTGGTTTGTGCTGCTGAAAGTAGCGTTTGTGCCGCTTTCATTTCCAAGATATAGTGCCTTGTTTTTCGGGGTCATGACGTCACTCAGCCACCCTTCAATGTTGTAGGGAAACCAAACTGGTCTCATTCATTAGTGCTACATTTGTGGCATTGAAAGTAACTTCCCAGCTTCTTTCTTTCCTGAGATATAGTGCCTTTATTTGGGGGGGAGTGACGTCAATCAGCCCCCCCATAACGTAGTATGCGAACCGGACCGGTCTCATTTCTTAGTGCTGCGTTTGTACTGGTTTGTGCTATTGAAAGTAACTTCCCAGCTGCTTTCGTTCCTTAGATATAACGTCTTCTTTTTCGGGGGGTGACCTTGCCCAGCCCCCCTACAATGTTGTAGGGAAACTGGACCAGTTTCATTCGTTAGTGCTGCGTTTGTGCCAGTTTGTGCCGTTAAAGTAGTGTTAGTGCAGCTTTCATTCCTGAGATATAGCGCCATTCATGGTGACTTTGACCTCCAGTGACCCCGTCTGCGGAGTTCAAGCGCTCTGTTATGGTGCGAGAGTAACAGTTCTGCAATTTTGTTTTTGTGTTTGCCGGGGTGGGGGAGTGGTGGTTGATTTTGCTTTTAATACCAGTATCTTCTTTGCGTTTGTGTGTACAGGAAAATTAAAATGATCAACAATATCATACCCTAATCAGAAGAGTTGGGGATGTAGCTCTACTGTCTCACATATGCAGACCTCAGAAGTTAGCCAACAGGTACTTTTAATTAGTTGATGTGATGAACACAATGGGTAATATGAAATCGTGTAACTAAGCAGCTAAATTATCACAAATGGACATTTTGGAAATATTTCTTTCTTTCAAAAAACGTCTATTGTCCTTGTAGTGGTAGGCAGTTCAAAGCATGATCAGAGCATTACTTTCAGTTACTTTCAGTTTGTTTCTCATAGAGCCGAATGCATAAAAATAGTCCACTATTATAGCTTATTGTGAACATGATATGTCTCTTTTGTAGCGTTGTAGCGGCAATGCTTGTTAATAAGACAGAATTAAGTGTTGCGGTGCTTTCCCAAATGAGGCCTCATTTCTCTGTTCATCTCTGTGGTGCAGCCACAGAGAAACTATTCATGCAGGCTGATTTAAGGTTTCCTTTGATAAGGGACAGCTCCCAAAGGGGGGATGCACTTAGCTAAGCCTGGCTATCATGATCAATGGTCATCCATTGGCACCTATCTGTCTAGGGAGTGGCAGATGGACATCTGGACTGCATTCCTAAGTGTCAGGAGTAAGTGACTCATATCTCACC